ATTGGTATAACTACTAAATACTTTGGTATACCTTGCTTTAGGGTTAGATCGTTGAAAACAAAGTCTTAAAGTTAGCACTGGTATAAATAATAATTTCAAATCAATACAGAGTAGGATCACCCAAGTGAGTTGGTTCTTTCTATCCTAATTAAGATTAAGAAATCTAAAGTCACCGCATTGACATTTCAGTTTATTATTGTGTTAAAAATTTTGGCAGAGAACACAGGATTATCGCTTATTGTTTCTTAACTGCTAGTGAAGCAATCAGATTTATCGCAATCCCTTGTATTGGTAGGCCTATAGACTAAAACATTGAAGTGTGATATTCTCAAAGGATTATCTATGTACGCTGTTAAACCCCCTCAAAACAATAAATCCGTTCAAAAATTAGCAAATGTGTAATACATGTATTACACAAAAAAACTTTTTGGTTTTTCATCTGTTGTTTGTTGGCGTCTAAATGTGTGTACTTTCTTTGTGGAGGTTAAAACAAATGAGTTTTAAAGATACAATTTTGTAGGAACCTTGAAAAGACTAATGGAAACAGGGCCCGATTGAGGGGGAACAAGCCGGGCAAATGCCCAGAGCGGCAAAAATAAGGGGGGGCCGTTGCGGTGGCACGAAGTCCTCAATTTTCTCTCCATTAGATAAACATTTGATAAAAACTGCTTGCCCAACAAACATATTTTCAAAGGGTTTCCTTTAAATAAAATGCTACTTTAGCGCCTGTAAATATACCGACATATTCAAAAGTGCTAAATATCTTATCTTATTATTTCGTAGTCTTCTAAGAAATTTTTAAAATACCAATTAAGTAAACCAAGCCGAAGGTAGGGCAAATACCTAACTTATAGAAAAGGATGTTTATGTATTTATGTGTGTTAGTAGTATGAATATTGTAAACGTATTTAATATGTTTATGTTTACATGTGTTAATTATCTAGAGTATTATAAAGTACACAACAGACTACCCTTTTTTTGTGTCCTGTGCGGAAATCCCCTCGCATTCCACTTACCGGTTGCAATGTCGGACTCGAACCGACTAACACCGCAGGCCGTCTCAGGTACCAGTAGTCGGGGAACCAGGTGTACCCTAGAAAGGAAATCCCTGGTGCCCCGACGTACCTCGGGCCATCTACGGAGGGTAGACGACCCCCCATGTTCCCTCAGTGCTCCCGGAAGGGTGCGCGCGCTTCGCAACGCGCTCGGCGCCACCCCGGCCTGCTGCTGCTAGGGTGACACAACAGAGTTGACAATATCCGTAAAAAAGTTGTCTTTAAGAGATCGCCGTGAGAGATAAGACCGCCTATTGTAATACCAAAATGTAGATGTCCATCCACGTCAGTACAATGGATATATACTGTAGCGGTGTACAATAAAAATAAATAAAATAAAAGGAACCACCTCTTATGAAATAATTTACCTATCAATTTTAGATTTGAAAATTCAAAGACATGTTCCTGAATTTTATACCGATTTTAAGTTTATGAGCTGGCAATTCATTAAGGTTTTGACGGTGATTCCTCATGAACGTTGAGATAAGTAAATAGTTCCAGTAGTTTGTATATATAAACTGTTATATTTTTGAGGAAATACCTTTTTACTAAACATTCTTACAAAGCGTCAATTTGCTTTACGTCAATTTATAATTATTAATTTAAACCGCTGAAATATCATATTTAAGGAGGTACCTAAAATTGTATCATTTTTAAACACTTTTTTGATACGCCCGGTAAAGATGGTCTGTGTAAAGGAATTATTTCCGTCATATTTGCAAATAGTGTGGTGTCAGCCTATGGTAGTAAATTTCTGAGAAATTCTTGAACAGAAACATAAGTTGACGACCGGATGGCGTAGCGGTTTGTGTAACGAACTTCTATTCCAAAGGTCTCGGGTTCAATTCGCCAAGTCAAACATTTGTGTGCATGAACATTTAATGTTTGATTTGGTCTGGGTGTTTCTATGTATAATATGTATGTATTTACAAAAAAAAGTGTATAATATGTGCAAAAATTGTATATGTGTATTTATATCAGTTGTCTAGTACCCACAGTACAAGCTCTGCTTGGTTTGGGACTAGATGGCGTAGTGTAAATGTTGTAAAAAAAAACAAAACAAGTATACTTACAAACATACATACATCTCACGAACTTCTGTTTACTTGTTTAGAAGCCCCAGTCAATAATTTCACTAAACAAAGGCTTATCCATTTACAACTTAAGTGTATGATAGCACACATTATCATCTGTGATGTGTGTTTTAATTGCAAAAAAAAACTAATAAATAAAAAGTAAAAAATTACGATTACGCATTTAAAAACATGACATGATTTATTCTGAAAGTGACGGTTTTTCCGCTAAATGGAAACGTAGAAGACAACATACATAAGTAGTTTTGTTATGATTAGAGAAGTATCATCCTCCTATTCAATTTTTTTTAACTAAACCACCACAAAATAATTCATCTCTGAGAAGCTGAACTTATTAAATCAAACAAAAATATAATAATGTGTAGAGAGCAGGGAATCATTTTGGAAGATTACTATAGGGAGGAATAAGTGGCGTGGCCAAGTGGAACGGAACCAACGACCTTGCCAAAGCGAGGTCACGCCACCCGTGCCCTTACCTCGACACCACCTCGCCTGCTTCTACCTGCCTGTGCGGACGTCAATCTGAACCCACATACGGTGTGACCATAAATACCACGAAACTGAACAATGTATAAATTTTTGTTTTGCTTTAATACTTATCAAGTGACCTTAAAAATGGAGAAATCTCCATACGACTTCTATTGTTGAAGTAGATATGTACTTAAATAATTTTAGTTTAAGGACAGTATATAATTTAGGTAAAATATTATATATTTAATTAATGCGAAATAGTATTGAAAATTTAAGTGATTAATTAAAAAAACACTCCTATTGATTTTTATACAGTCATAATGCCGAGTTCAATACAGCAACTGGATTAAGAAGATAAATTTTACTGAACTACTACTTTTAGTTGGTTTTGTGTTGTAAATTATAATGATGACGTATTTTTAAAAGCACGTATCTTATTTCATATTTCCTAATATGAAATAAGATACCTGCGAATGGAGTTCATGTGGACTCTCGTTGACCGCAAAAATCATTCCAACCCTGGCACTTCTGACTTCTTACTTTATAATAGGTACGATGTGACAATACGTAGGTACCAGGTATATATTATTACCTAGCGTTGTATTGCACCGCTCGAACATCTATTACAAGTTCTTGGAAATGTATCAAAATGAGGTAGAAAAAGACTTTAATTAGAAGTTAAACCAATTCAACTCAGCTGTAGGAATTGATTAAAAATACTTTCAACGCGAATCGTGCACTAAAATTAGACTAAAGAATTTCTAAGATCAAAGTCCCTTTTCAGCAGAAGTTTGTACACGTACCTACCTAATTGTTTAATGCTGTTACAAAGTGATTACCTAGCTATATTTTTTTTTAGGTAGATCCGATTATCGTATTATATTAGTATCCATGTTGTATTAGGTGACCATCGTGAATTGTCGTAATTGTGTCGTGGTGGTGGCGGTAGAGGAAACTGTTACCTATATATTATCAATCTAATAAAAGAGAAGTAATTTCATATTCAGTAGGTATACTAGGAATATTATACTACCTATATTATATTAGGAAGGAAATACAAAGTACAAAATTCAGTACCTGTCGTAAGGGATGAACTACGCAATAACGTTTGTGTTGTGTAGTGTAGTTCTAGATATTTGAGATCCGCGGGTACAGGGCATGAGCGGTTGGGTCGGACTCGGGAGCGATGACGGCGTTCCGCGGCCTTGACCGTGATCGCGCGCTCGATATAGCCCGGCCAAACGCCCCGCCTGCCGCCTGCTTACCACCTCCTTCCTCCCACGTACCCCCTTCCAGTTCTACCTCATTCTGTATTCTATTCCTTCCGAATTTAAGTGGACCTACCAAGATGCAAAGGACTGTAAAGCCAGTTTTTAGTTAATAAGCATAAGAAAAAAAAGCTACAACATAAAACTTTTTGCATAGTTCTATGGTTTAGGAACTACGTTATAATGTCCGAGAAAATTAGTATTGTCAATTCAATCTGGTTAAGAACTGAGAGGATAAAGAAGGGGGGTAACAAAGGGGCAAACATATTATCAGAATATTTATACCGCAAACTGAGCATAAAGTCGCTTCATGGTACTTAGTAGGCAGACGGCGTAGTTAGAGCGGATCAGAATTAGACACCAAGGCCACCAAAGCGATGTGATATCATTTATATGGCGTATCTGTCCCTGAACTCAGTCGAGTGACGCACGTGGATTCAAATATCACCCTGACCTTAGTCGTAAAAATAATTATTTATAATGCCACCTAATGGGAATACTTTTTACCTACGTTCCAAGTAAATGGAAGTACAGAAATAACTAGGGAACACAATATAGTAACATAAATATTGTAACTTATTTTTTGAACTGTAAATGTACAGTAATACAACGACGACGACAAAGACGAGAAACATTTCTTACCAAATATTTAATAATGGCTTTAAATCCGAGAGAATTATTTTTTAATTTCCTTTCATTTAATATCATGACTATTATAAAGAACTACCTTTATTAATGCTAACATGACATTCCTGAAAATAAAATTATATAAATGCACAATTAAACTTTAATGACATAAATTGTAAAATCTGAATTTCTAAAATACCGCTCTAAACGTAACAATTTCTTCGGATGCTAGATATAAATAATAAACTTTTTTTTATATCTAGCATCCATTTTGAATTTGTCAATGTAAAACTATTGTACTGTCATCACAACACATCATGTGTTAGCTCTAATTTGCAATATTAAAGGATTTAGGAACTTAAACAGGTATCATACACCATTCCGATCGATTCTTAAATAAGCGTGCCTTTGAGAAATACGTATATTTATTTTAATATAACACAGGATGAAACAGGACTTATCTAAAACGGGTTACATTGAACCAATTATTTAGCTTTCATGCCTTTCTTCTTTGGAGGCGTTTTATTCGTTTTAGAAGATTTGACCTTTTTACCGCGACCTTTAGTTTTTTCCTTGGCCTTTTGAGCGCGCATGTCTTTCTTCATGCGAGGGTCGACTACCTTGTAATGTCCTTTAACTCCTTGAGGTCGTTTCATTCGCTTACCGGTATTATGTTTTTTAGCTACCACATATGTTACTTTTTTCTTCCCGTCTGTCTGCGCCTTTTTGTAAAGTTGTTTTATTTGTTGCGATTTTTCCCTTTCTGACATGTCGGCGTTTTCCATCACAGCCTCGACCTTCTTCTTAGCACGCTCCATTTTCTTGATCATACGCTTCTTCTTTCTAGCTTTAGCTTCTATGACTTTCTTAATAGGTCGTGCGTTTATATCTTGCAATCGGTTCTTGTATTCTTCAGTGTATTTCTGTAAAATGACAGCAGCAATTTTTTATTACACCCGTTTTAGAATTTTGTCGATATAGATATGGTACTCGTTGACTAACAAACATTTTTTGGCCAGTTAACTGTGACTTGAGGACTGCGAGAAAGAAAACCTATAAAAATGACCTAACCGGCTGTTGTGATTAATTAGGGGATACTGTCATATTCTAAAAAAAAAAAGTTATTCGGGCAGGCTGGGGGACTAAGAGCGGTGTTTCGCACTACGACCGATCAAAATCCGATCCTAATCTTCCGTAGTCTTTTTTTCTCTTGTATCAAGGGGGGCACAACGAACGCTACGCATTGGGACTACGGTTTTAATTCCGATACTTGCAGTACCATCTAGTGTCGAATATCGGAAGATTATAGAAATCTGGAACATTCCATAGGATCCTCGGGATTACTCTAGTAATTTCGATAGCCCTATAAAAGCGGCGCGTGTTGGTCGTACTGGATAGTATTGTTTTACAACTCAGCGAATTGACATAGAAGAGCGAAATTTCTTGTGCGAATAACGAGTTATATAGTGATTTCTTGTTTGTGATAGTGAGTATTTGTGTTCTTGTTTGTAACAGTGCAATAAAAGTAATTAACCGACTACTTTTATTTATTGTATACGTCGCTCGTAACAATTTGGTGTCAGAAGCGGGATAACAAAATGCCGGTTTTACTAAGAAAAGACACGGAAGGCATCCGTACAAGAAGCCAGCGTCAGCAGACCAGAGGCGGTTACTCCAGGAGTAGGCTCGCCGTCAGGAGGAGCAGGCCCGCCGTCAGAAGGAGCAGGCCCATCGATTGGAAGAGCAGCTACAATGCGACAAGGAGGATCAGCCCCGCCGTCAGGAGCAGGCCCGTCGATTGGAAGAGCAGCTACAATGCGACAAGGAGGATCAGGCCCACCGTCAGGAGGAGCAGGTGCTTTTGTTAGAAGGCATTCACGAGACCTTCGGTAAACAACTCAAGAGAGCAAAGGAGCACGTTTGTTTGTTTGATCAACCGTCTCACGGAAGCCGAAAATCAGATTGCGAACGGCTGGTCTAGGGCCCAGGCTATGACCCCGTTCGGGATTCGGAGATAGGGGCGGCTGTTCTACGGATCCGTTCCAAGAACACCGCCTGGGCCAGACGGGATACCGGCCCGAGTGCTGGCCCTAGCCCTCCACCACATGGCAGACCGCCTCAGGGAGGTGTTCGACGCTGGCTTGGCAGCCGGACGTTTCCCCGAGTGCTGGAAGAGCGGGAAGATTGATTGATTCCTATTGAGGAAGCCAGGATGGCCTTCCGATTCGATCGCGGCCTACAGGCCCATCGTATTGCTGGACGAGGCGGGTAAATTGTTTGAGAGAATTCTCTCTGCCCGCATCGTCTGGCACCTCTGCGAGGTGTCAAAGTTTATGTCAGGTGTCAAAGTTTATGTAAGGTGTCAATTGTTTATGTGGATCGATTGGCGCGATATTATGGTGGTCCAATGCTCGGCGAGCGTGTTGGCCGTACGGGACAGTATTGTTTTACGACACAGCAAGTTAATATCGAAGCGAATTTATTGTGAAGCGCTTCATAGTACGTACAATGTCATTGTACGTAATATGAAGCGCGTAAAATAAAGTATGCTAAAAGGTAACCCCTAATTTGCTTGGATTTGAATCAGAGATGGCAATAAACAATATACAAATCATTAATTATATTATTGAATCACACAAATAATTAATTATATTATATTATATTATTGAATTAATCACAAATCAGAAATCGGAGGTGGGGCGAAACGCAATATCCGAGTTCAGTCCGAGATTTTTAGATCCGTATTTTCACGGGTTCGGATCGGATTCTGATCGGACGTAGTGCGAAACCGCACTCCAATAATACACACAAAGCCGAAATAAGAAGACATCAGGAATCGTGATGTTATTGCTTAATTGTTTTTGGTAAAAAATTCGATCAAAAATCCTTTGAATACCTTAAATATGCCAGGGGCCGAATATAGTTATTGGGCCTATTTGGGAGCAAAATTTGATTTGGATACTGTCTTATATTTTCTTTTCATAATTAACATATTTTAAAATGCATTTTACAACTCAATATGACAAACAATGGGAGAGATCTATGTCCAGCAGTGGACTGTGATAGGCTGATGATGATGATGACAAACAACCTAAGGCATGTGTTGTAAAGTGATTTTTCTCCCCTCATCCCGAATTGAGTTGACGATTTGATTTGATGATCTGCATTTGATTTGATTTGACAATGCAAGGGTCAAAGATAATCATAGACAGGACTCATGAACAATATACAAAACTATTTATTTAACAAATTAGTCAACAGTCAAAAAGAAATTTATAAGGATTCTGAGTGATATTTATAGAGTAACATCTGCCGAAATAAGTACTATTAAGTTATTATCTATTTCTAATAATTTACCTCTGGTACTATGACTGGTTTTTTCATATGTTTCTTTTCATCCTCTACAAACCAATCTGGTAAGTTTTTATCATTGAAAGTATATCTATTCCAGCCATCATCTATGAGATCCCTTTTAAATTTCTTCGATGTTGCTATCATTGTGCCAAGAGCCAAAGTTTCAGCATCCATTTTTAAATTCTTCTTCAGCCTTTTTAAGTCTAGAACAACATACTTAATACTTTAATGCCTTGTTGATAGATAACAATATAATGTTTAGAATACATACTATGATTAACAAAGAAAATATTTGAATTATTGTTAAAACCTTGTTAGTTTGCTACTTACAGTTCTATTCAACTAGCTATGCTGAGCAGTTTTACTTGTATATGATTTATAAGAAATCCTTGTAAATTTAAAAATATATTTACATGTTCATAAACGACTGTGATTATGAAACAATTTAGTTGGATTATTTCCATGATCATATCATCATCTTTGATTTCACCTCTTCTTCGATTGACTAATTTGAGCAGTTATAATAGCTTAACTATTGTAGCATATAGTACTTTTTTGTGGGTAAATTATGAATATTATGAACATTATTTTAATTATCATCAATAGTTTTATAAGTGCAAGCTCATTGTATAACTTTTGTAAACAAATTTCTTTCTTTTTTTATGGAATGCGAGAGCATACGAGCATACAGGTGTCAATCAGGGTGTCCCTCGCCCTATTTCAGGGGTCAGGGTCTGGGCTCCGGAAACATTACTTTATTTTCTAAACTGGTCAACCAATATTTGTGTTTATCCATGACAAACAAACAGAAAATGCCTTTTCTTTACAATTTAAGATATTTTTAGTTATAACTTAATAATTATTACCTGCATCTTGGGAAACAACTTCAAATCCATCCTTTTTGTTTGCCTTGGCACTAGGATTTCCACTAGTTGGTACAACACTCTCCTCAACATCGTAATCGCTTTCAGAAGAATCATCATCTGAGCTTTCATCTTCCAATTTCCTTTTTCGACTGGTGCTGTTTGTGATATTGGAAATGGTTTCTTCAGCAACTTTTTTTCCTTTTTCTTTGTAGGTTTCTACCAACTTGTCTAAATCAACACCCTCATCTTCATCTTCATTAATATCTTTAAAACTATCTTTTTGAAACCATAACTCTGCCTTCTTAGAGCGTTTAGATACAGGATCTGTTTTATCCAAATCAGTTAACAAAGGATGATTCTTAGGTATAGTCGTCGATTTCGGCACCTGGCTGTTGCGCAACGTATTGAGTTTTGTAATTTTATTAATTTTTTTATTTTCTGTATCTGAATCTGAGAATGCTGAAACAATTATTGTCATATTAAAATTACACGATCACATCTCAATTTTAAACACCACAATGCTGCATCACAAGTTTTTAGAAATAGATACAATTACTTAGCAAATTTTTTAAGAGGAATTAACAAATAAGTAGAGGAATTCTTCTTTCAAATAACCTAAAAAAATGAACCTCACATAGAAAAATAACAACACCACATGATCTTAAAAATTTTACATTTGAATCACACATCATTTTCAAATTACGACTTGTGAGCATTATACACAACTACAAAATTATACTCCACTACTGTACTAATTAGGGATTAGATAAATGAACTACCAATCATATTACTAACAATAATATCTCACCTAATGACTCTTTATCTTGCTCAGCATCAGAATCGGACTCTAATTCCAGCTCACTATCAGAATCTTTGTAATAAAGGCCTGAAGAATCCAATTTAGATGATTCTGTGTCATATTTCATATATTTGCGTTTTACCTTTAATTCATCATCTGAATCATCACTGGGTTCTGCAAGTATATCTGGTTGCTGGTCTACCATTCGTGCCAACTCCTGAAATCATAACAATCATACATAATTACTTTATAAACAGATTTGTGCAACATACTTAATACCCAAATGACTGAACTTCACTTGATTTTAAGCATTTACAAAACCAGGACTCAATTAGGTGCGAGTCAATACATTTTAGTTTGTAATCTCTAAAAAAAAAAATAGGAAGATTTGTGTTTGTTAAAGGCATCTAAAGTTCTTAAACAGATTAACCGATTTTGATACTTTTTAGTTACTTCTGTTGAATTTAAGGGCTTGATGGAGACTATGTGGTCACACACACTCTCCATCTTCTCTTCTTCTCTTAAAAGGATGTCTGCATTAGTAGTTTTTGAATAAATACTTTTTGTGCACAACATGAAAGCTAAGAGAAGAGCACTGAACATAAATAAAAAGTTTATATCTCACCTCAGCATTCTTAATGTCAGACAGTTTGAACATGTCATTACTTTCCAAAATAGGTCCATCATCACCTTTCAGTACCATTTTTAGATTCATTTTTTCAGCTAGTTTTTGTCTTTGCTTATTTAACTGTTTCCTTTTTCGCTTCGACTGGCGTCTTTCTTCATCCTGAAAAAATACAACAGTATAATATAATCACCACCTAGAATGGTCCTCTTGACAATTGCTTAAGACTTCATGTACCATCTTCATCAGCCTATCACAGTTCACTGCTGGACATAGCCCTCTAGGATTTTGGGCATAACTAACCAAAAATGCTAAAACAGTAAAACTTATTACCTGTAATCCAGCAATTTCTCCATCTACATCATCTTCGTCTTCTATTTTCTTATCCGCATCAACATCCTCTTGTGATTCCTCATCACTTCTCTCTTTTTCATCAACCTTACTCTAAAGTTTAAATAAAACAGAATATATTTAATCTGGAAAATTTTTGAGTTAGATAAATAGGTAATTATTTCAGATTAAATTATGTTATTTACCTGTGAGGATTTTAATTCTTTCATTTGTTTGAACCAACTTAATAGGGCTTTTAAATCCTTCCTCCCAAGGACTTTGATATCTTTACAACATTCTTTAATTTCTGCAGTAGTCTTAGGATGTTCAGCAACATCCTTAACATCTATTACAATCTGTAACCATTAATTAATTCAAGTGAAATAACCCTACCAACACACAACAAAAATGTTCAAACAATGTAATAAACACTGAAAGTGTGTGAAATAGAGACGAAATGTTGACTCACTTCAGAACAGCCCTGAAGTAAATCAATAGGATCTTGGTCTGGATCCAAAAACTGTGACAATAACACCTTATGATGAGTGGTATAATCATTTTCTTGATAACCTTCAGCTTTAGCCTTCTTTTGCTTTTCAGGATGCAGAATATTCATGTGTTGTTTTTTCACTATTTCTAAATCTTCAAATACATGTTTGGGGTCAAGGAATTTGGGATCAATGGTATCAGGAGCAATATAACCCTGACATACAACAAAAATTTCTGATGACTCATTACGTGATGCCTGAGGTTTTGTAGCATGAACCTTCTTGAAAAATTGTTTGAGGACCCATAACAATGCATGATAATCTTTTGACCTAAACACTTTGGTGACAAACCAGCCACCATCTCTTAAGAAATTTGTTGCCAGTTTCAACGCACTCAAAGTGAGGCAAGCTTGTTGGTATGCATCATGGATCCAATTTAAACCAACGTTGGGAGCGCCGTCATGAAGAACAACATCAGCTTTCCATGTTTTAATTTCCTTCTTAATGGCAGATTTACACTTTTCTGTTGTAATATCTTCAGTCAGGCCTATACAACCCGGAACTGGTTTGATAGGAAACAAATCTACTCCAATGACCACACTGGACAGGGGCATGTTCTGATGTGCCACCTGCATCCAACCACCTGGTGCTGCACATAAGTCGATACATACTCGTGATTTTTGCAAAAACCCAAATTTTCTATTTAATTGAATCAATTTAAAGGCAGCTCTTGAACGGTAACCTAAAAACACACGATATATATTAATCACACTTCACAACACCACGCTATGGCACACAAATATTAATTTTAATTTTTTAATACCCGTTTCCTTCGCTAGTTGATAATATTTATCTTTCCGCTGTTTTCCTACTTTTGTCTTTTTACCCATCGTGAATATTTTAAATCAGAAACTCAATATTTGATCTCTTCAAGCATTGCAATGTTTTACAGCTCACGTCCTCACAATATATTTGAGGTTATATTTATGTCACTGTCACAACACCAGGAGGCAGGGATGTTAGATTGTGGTGTGTCAAGCTGGTACAGATGTCGCTAAAAGGCTCATAAAGCTATATATTAATAATAAATCGTTATTTTGTATATTCTTTTAAATGAAATTATGTATTATCGAAGAAACACTTTCTAACGAGAGGCCTATGTCCAACAGTGGACTAGTATAGGCTGTTGATGATGATGATGAAGAAACACTTGATTATTTCAAAATTAAATCATACCTGATAAAAAATTAACAATATACATCATTAAAAAAAAAAAAACAACCATGAGTTACATTGACCGAATTTTTATATTATATTCTGACAAAATCATCCATGGATAATTCGCTTGATTAATATACTTATATAAGTAAGTTACTTAAGGGTTTAAAAATAAATATCATTATGAACAGTAAATTTTTACAATAATTTTGTAACTATGGCGTACAGCAAGAACTTATAAATTGTTAGATACAAGTTTTTTCTCGTATGATTAATGTAGAAAGTTGGTATTGTTGCGTACGAATGCAATATTTAGTTGTTACATGGTACAAGACCCTGAAAAATGGTACCAAGAAATTGGTACGTCTGACATCCCTGCACAACCCTAACCACCTGAACCACGACTATATTATAGATGTAAAACAACCGATTTTTTAATTAAATGTTGCCGTTTTACCCCAAATAAATCGTTTTAAATGGTTGAAAACACGCCTACAAAAATAAAAGCATTGTGTTTTACACTTCATTATGGGCAATTTTTGGTCACCTAACGTCATGTTTCGTTTTAATTAGTTTATAATTCTAAGGAGGAGAGGCCTTCTGTTGATGATTGATGAATACTATTTTTTATTTTAATAAAAATTAAACAACCGTTAAACGGAATGTCTTTTAATTTAACAATCAGCGTCCAGCCAGCGACGTCACTTCTGCTTTGTTAACTTACTAAGTTATAGTCGTCCATATAAATATTTATTTATTGCAAATATTAATTGTACGTTTCACGAATAGTTGAAGGTAAGAACAGCCATCAAACAGTTTCGACATATTTTACCGGAACTACCAAGCTTTGAAGTGGAGAAAACATCACTCAGGAGTTCAGGAAAGGACCTAGGCTATTAAGATCTGATAGGAAATGTTGTACCAGACATAGATCTACTTATTAAAAGACCGCCCTTGCTGATTGTGAAAGCCTGTACCCTAACGGCAAGGTATTGGAACACACACCTGTAGAGTCTGAGCCGGAAAAGACAATAATACACCTTAGAAACATAACCGTGCAGATTCCTTTAAACAATTACAATTAATTTTCACAAACAAGCAGGTACCGACTAAAAACAGATCTCAATAATATCAATTCATAAGAATCAAGATCAAAAACAACATGAACACATGGCCTTTACATATTTACCGTCTGAAATGGCAAACATGACCAGACAAAAGTGACCAGAGGGGTGTCGTCAAAAGTCGAGGCTCGAGAGAACAATTTGTGATAACTATTTACGGTACAGTACCCCTGTACTTCTTGGTGGGGCATTTGACTCCATAAGGTAGGACTATGTTCTGCAAGTAAATTGGTTTTCTACCACATCTAACTGCATGAATAGCAAACCTTCAGGAATAATGGTTTCGGGGTCACTCAACCAAAAAAGGAATATGCCTGTAATGTTTCTTATTACCTTTCGTTTCGAACATCGGTGTTCGGCGATGCGGCTTCGTGCGAGCAGCATTGGACTGGTTGTTATGGCAAAATTTGGGGGGAAGCCATATTATATATTATATCCAGTAATGGACGACTTTCGGTTGAGAAGAAGACGGTCGTTCAACTAAAAGTGGTATCTGTTGTAAATAAAGCAGGAAATTCAGAAATCATATGATTTCTTATAGAGACCACTTATAGCAATTGTGAAACAATAATTGACTTCCTTTAATATTCAAGTAAACAGTCAATCATTTTTGTGTAGGTTAGGTTAATATTTATTAAGTTAGGGTTAACCCTCACATAATAAATTACCTTATTAAGTTATTAAGATAGGGTTAATCCTAACTTCATAAGGTAATTTAAGTTTAAGGTCCAATGCATAAAATAAACACGTTCTTATTTTTTTTATCATGACATTGAGGTATTTTATTTAAAGATACTGTTGCAACTATTTGTATAATAGCAGCTTAGTGTAAATTACATTTCCATCTTTATCAACATGCAGCCATAGCGGACATTCAAGTCTATGTGCGATGCAAGACCATGTGTATACGCTAATTAAAAAAAAATGGAATAGGGGGCAAACGAGAAAAAGTGTCACGCGTCACCTGATGGTAAGTGACATCCGTCACCAATGACACTTGCAGCTCAAGAGGCATTTAAATTATTTTATTCTTCACATCCGTCCTCGTATCGACTGTATCTATCATACTATCGAGAATGAAAATCAAATAAGTAAAAATATTTTTTTACATTGGCAATAATTATTGCATCAGAATCACCATTGTTTCATAGCGAAGTTACATGTAACCAGTTTGAGCGTTTCTAGAATTAATCAGTTCTGTACACTAGCAACATACCAATCACTCTAAACGTAAATTCTCTGTAAAACCTTGGACATCTGTTTGTGTTAGTTAAGAGTTGGAATAAAAAAATATATTTTTAGAACACATCATCATGACTCCTAATCTTCAAACATTCGTCAATAGCTTTCAAAATCGTCTGTAAGTATTATAAGGCGTATTTCTTCTTTATTTTGCATATTTAGTGAATTAAAAGTAGCAGTACCCAATATTAATACCATTGTGTAATACAAGGTTAATTAATGACTACGTCATTCTAGAACAATACTGATGGCAAAATAAGATCCTAACAAACATCGTACGATAGGAAGGTTCGATTAAAAGGCGCAGCCGTGGCAGTTTTTACATTTCTGGATTATCTAGAGAATCATGAATTTATTGTTTTATAATGTATTCTCATTGATTTATCCACATATAAAGTCAACATGCTTTACTATTTCCTATGATTCTTATTGTGTAATATATTTATTTTAGTGAACCACCAGTTCGCCAGCATCTTAAAAATGTATATGGTACCTTAATGATGACTTGTGCCTCAGCTGTGGCTGGGGTTTATGTTGACATGTATACCTGGTTCCAAGCTGGCATTTTATCTGCTATTGTGGGAGCAGGTTTAATGTTAATGCTGATTGCCACACCTGATAATGGCAAGAACACAAACTTGAGACTTGGATACCTTCTTGGTTTTGGCCTAACTTCAGGTATTTACTTAGCATTTAAATACAATTCTTATTACAATTTTTTATTTAGGAATTTAAGGATCTTACTGTAATTAAAATTATACAAATTTATATAATTTTTATATCAGCTAATTACATTTACGTTACACTAAATAGCTAGGTGACTTGATTACATTAACGATACATGTAGCATATAGCTCATTATTCTCTTGTTTCAGTATCAATATACTGAAACAAGAGAATCATACAGCGTCATAATTTATTTCACAACACTCAACCCAAATGAATGTATGATGAAATAGTAAAATAATATTTTTAATTCAATGGGTTCTCTCTCAATAGTCATAGGTATAAAATATTTTAGAATACAATACTTTTTATTGCTATTCCAAAACCCTAATAAAACATGTGTTATATTATCATATTTGTTTTTTTTATAAATTATTGAATGAACAGGTCTCCTGTGAAGTATTGAAAATATTGGTTCATTTATTTGATTTTATTGGAACATATTAGAAGAATATATATAAAAACTTCAATATTTTGCATTATTTTGGATAGAGCCAATCCACATATAATTTATACATCTAATTCTCTCTGATTTACACATTTTTGATCAAGACTTTTTTCATTTAAAGACTACTGTCTAGTTACATTTTAAACTTATTATTTACTTTCAGGAATGGGTTTAGGACCACTTCTTCAATATGTCAGCTTTATTGATCCCTCCATCATTGTGACAGCCCTTCTAGGATCAACATTAGTGTTTGTTTGCTTTTCTATTGCTGCTATGTTGGCTGAGCGTGGCAGTTGGCTCTTCCTAGGTGGAACACTAATGACTTTACTTACTTCTATGTCCGTTATGGCATTGGCCAATCTCTTTATGCAATCTCACTTCCTGTACCAGGTAAGTCAGACACAACCTTTATTTATAGTTTGAAGCATTTCGTTGACACAGTCTTGTAAATGTTTATCTGACTCCTCTTTTGTGACTCTTGTACTACATGATTAATAAGTGCTGATGGAAATGCCTAGTTTTATAGAAGTTAAGCAGAGTTATTTGAGTCATGAAAGTCATAGATTATTATTAGTTTAAAATGATTTCCTTAAAAGTCACTGATTTCATGTGTAACATAATTTGTGATTCTTTAAACATTGTGGAGAGAGAGAGAGAGAGATTTTATTTTTAACTAAAAATGTATGTACAAATTTACAGACTCATCTTTATCTTGGACTTATGCTCATGTGTGGTTTTGTACTGTTTGATACACAACTCATCATTGAGAAACGTCGTATGGGCAACAAGGACTTTGTGCAACATGCTCTAGAGTTATTCATTGACTTTATTGGAATGTTCAGAAGACTGCTTATTATTCTTACTCAAAAGGTAAGATCAGATAATAATAAAATAGAAATTGTTAGGTATACCTTAAAATTTTCATAATTTTTATAGCCTATAAGCTTTTATATCTATATTTATTCCAAATCTAAACATTATATTTTCAACTTCCATTTTTTTTTTCAGGAAGAACAAAATCGCCGTCGCAAACGTGATTAAATAAGCACTTTACGAGTCTAATTCCTTGGTTACGCGTATGATACTTTTACTACGAAACAACAACGTGGACATTTTATTGACAGATGATTCATCAAGTTTTAAAACAACAAGTTTTGCGCAGTTAGGGAATCTATTACTATAGTTATTTTGGGAAGGTGGAAAACTTCAAATATTATTTTATTATTTTGTTAACTAATTACTATAATTAAGATATTTATAAATTATTACTGTATAATATGGTAAAAATAAATTGGAGCTGATTGTAATAAGTTGTTTCATTTTATATGCTAACATTATAGGCGCTGTACAAACTTATTATTGCAGATTTATAAAAAAGACAGGACAGTTGTAATCCAAACTTGACACGGGACAAAGCTCTGATTGTGATCAACAAATTGTTGTTTGTTTTGAGTCTGGGTGTTCTTTGTGTCCGTTTCATATATGTTTGTAAAGTCTCCCGCGACAAAGGTTATATTCCTAGTGCGAGAACTCTCGATCTTTATTAAAAAAATATATATACACGGTGATTTTGAAAGCGTTTTGGAAAAGTTTTTTTTTAATTATTTGAACAGAAGCTATACACGGTGATTTTATAGGTGTTTTGGAAACGAAACATTTTAATTTGGAATCATTTATAGTAGCAATAAAAATGGTTAAATCAATTGTAATGTTGATTAAAAAAAAGTTTCAGTTTTAATATTCATTTTTACTCGATCGACTTGGAAAGTAGTAATGCACTGATCATTCAGTCATTATCTTATATGAATGAAACACGTCCGTGCGCGTTTCGGCGGCCGCTGCGCACCGCTGACGCTAACAGCAGCTGATAAAAGTATACCTATAGGCGCGAGCTAGCGAGTACTTACGTAGATAGACTCCAGTTTGTCCTTCATACTTTACACGGGCTTAGGACCGTCGGAAATACCTATTTTATTAAAACTTCTTTTCGATTATTAACCACGATTGTTCTTTTCACAACAAATCAATTTATCAACGGACTGTAGGTATAAATATTTCAGGCGTATTTAAAAAATCGGAGCTATCTACAGAATAATTAACTTACATACCTATTTACAGTTTATTTACACTTCTCTGTATCAAAGCAACTGCTCAAAATGGAGTCCGTTGCGTTCAATACACAAACGTCCACGTTTAATGCAATTGTTTTTTAATTTTCTTAATGTGTCTCTATCACTTTTCACTTCACAATGCGTAAATCATCACGGCTTTCATATTCCCGTGTATAAACAAGTCTTTTTATTTCCGACCATAAGAAAAAATCCAGGGGCGTTAAGTCCACGGGCTTCGAAGGAAGCCGCCTGAGGGATCTAGCCTCACGGTAGGAGGCACTCGCATCGGTATCGAGCCCTCGATCAGGTATCTGGGGCTCGTACTCGATGGCCGATGGGACTTCGGATATCATTTCCGAGGTCTGGTCCCCAAATTGGTTGGGGCAGCGCGTGCGTTGGCGCGGCTGCTGCCCAACATGAAGGGACCGGATGACTCCTGCAGGAGACTACTCGGGGGTTGTGCGGTCCATGGCCCTTTACGATTGCTCAGTATGGGCGGGGGCCCTGAAGGCCAGCAACGTCGCGATACTGCGACGACCACAGCGAGTGCTGGCCATCAGGATCATAAGGGGGTACCGCACGATCTCCTTTGAGGCGGCGAGTCTCCTGGCCGGAACTCCACCGTGGGACCTGGAGGCGAGAGCCCTTGCGGCTCTGTATCAGTGGCGCAAGGAGGCGCGGGAGTTGGGTCGATGCCCCGAGATTCGAGAAATCGATGACCGGAAATCCCAACTCCGCCAGGTCATCATAGGGGAGTGGCACGACTCGGGCAACCGAGCGCCGGGCACGCCGTCATCGCGGCGGTAAGACCCGTTATGGAGGATTGGCTCGAGAGGCGTCACGGGACCCTCTCATACCGATTGACGCAGGTGATCACTGGGAAGGGATGTTTCGGGAATCACCTGTGTCTGATCCGCAAGGAGCCAACGCCTGAGTGCCACCACTGCGATGGCCAGACCGTGGACACGGCTCTCCACACGCTGGCAGGCGAGACCTCGTGGCGGCCATCGGAGTGGGAGTTCTCTCGCTCGATAGCCTGATTGCGGCTATCGTGCGGAGCGAGAGTGCGTTGAACTCTGCCGTCTCCTTCTGCGAGCAAGTTATGCTCGGGACCGGTTTAGGACTCTCCCGGCCCGCCAGGCCCGGGAACGGGCCAGGTACCGCAGGCGACTCAGGCGCCGGAGGTCGCAGAACGACCTCCGTCCTCCATAAGCGCAGGCCTGGGGGTGACAGGTGAGGCCATCTGTCACCCTAGCAGAAGCAGGCCGGGGTGGCGGCGAGCGCGTTGCGAAGCGCGCTCGCTTCCAGGGAGCACAGGGAACATGGGGTTCCCACACGGGGGGGGGTCGTCTACTCGTCTGTAGATGACCCGAGGTATGTCGGGGCACCAGGGACTTCCTTTCTAGGGTATACCTGGTTCCCCGGCTATTAGTACCCGAGACGGCGTGCGGTTTTAGTCGGTTCGAGTCCGACATGCCACCGCCAGGTGGTATCCGAGGGGATTTCCGCACGGAAAAAAAAAAAAAAAAGGGCGTTAAGTCTGGGCTTCTAGGTGGCCAAGGCACAGGCCCCCTCGACCTATCCACCGATCACTAAACTCATTGTCCAGGTATGCACGCACTACACTCGCGTAATGAGCGGGACAACCGTCGTGTTGGTAGAACCTGGTGATGGTTTTCTCATATCAAGTGGGGGTTAATTAGAGCCCAGTAATGCTCATTGTTCACATTGTATAGTCCCACTCGAGTAAACAGTGACTCGTCCGTCCAAAGTATGTTGGCGTTTGTATTATTTAACAATCACTGGCAAAAGGCGATTCTTGCCGGTGCGTCAGTGTTGTTTATTACGTGAGCCTTACGAAAATGATACGGATGTAAAATCCTTGTGTACGTAAAATCTTCCATACGAAGTTTTGGCTGACATCGAATTCTCGTGCTGCCATCCTTGTGCTCCGCCGCGGATCGCGCTTGAAGTACTCAAGAACATCTTCAAACTCCGGCGAATAATAATTTAAACGTCCTTGACCTTGCGCATGAGTGGGCGCACGAAATTGTTCGTGGTCGAGAAGACGTAGGGTTGCAGCCAAGATGGTAGGTGTGGAGGGAATTTGAGGGCTTTCAATTCCACGTAGCCGTAGTGCATTTAAATGCTCCGGCTGGCAATACAAACGCCGAGCCTTTTCCAAGTTGTAGTTGGCAGTCGCGTACAGCTGTACCATTGCCAAGTACTCCACGTTTGAAAATTCGTAATCAATGTAGCGTGCCGTCACGATGTTATGGTATTACTGACCGACTGAAAGGGAAGGACGCCTCACGATTACAGGTGAGTCCCGCGCATGCGCCTACGGGGCATACGACTCAGTGCAATGCCGTCATTGGTTGGACGACTCCGGCGCATCTCGGTAGCTTTGTTTTTATTGGCGAATACGATTTTATGTGAATCTCTATTAAAACGCATAGTATTTCTATTTGTAGTGTTTACCTACGTGTGATTGAATAGCCCTACTACTGGTTCTCACTTTTCTCTGCAAACGATATGAATATCGACTTTGATGATTAAAAAAATATATATTTTATTAAATTACCGTTATATATAGCTTCTATTATTGATAAATAATTCAAAATTTTCTTTTCCAAAACGCTTTCAAAATCACCGTGTATATAACGTACAACATATTTATACTGTAACCATTTTTATTGGTACTATAGATGATTCCAAATTCAAATGTTTCGTTTCCAAAACGCCTATAAAATCACCGTGTATATTATGTACTGTGTCCAACTGTGTCTACCAATAGGGATGACCTGGTTTTGACAGCTCATAGCGGCCATGTTTGATGATGGATCTTTGACGGCTCTTGACATTTGTGTTCAGTAAGGTTTGCCATTTTATCATGTCACGTTTCACTTTAAACCAACGCTTGGAAATTGTCCAAAATTACTACGCAAATTCGCGTTCTCCTACCGCTACAGTAAGAGCGCTTCGCGCAAAAAACGGTCGTCATAGTGCTCCTTCTGTGCGCGCTATAAATCGCATAATAACAAAATTTGAATTTTCTCCACGATACTGCTGTGTCTGTGAGACAAAGAAATGCCCGTAATGAATAGAATATCGCAGCCGTTCAGGCCAGTGTTGATGTGAATTCAAATCGATCAGTTCAACGCCGTTCACAAGAGTTGGGGCTCTCTCCAATGCCCACCTGGCGTATTTTTGATTGGTTGGATTTGGGCCTACACCCATACAAAATTGTTTTGGCACAAGAATTGAAGCCATCCGACCATTGTATTCGTCGTGAATTTGCCGATTATGCACTGGAAATGATGGAAGCCGATGACGATTTTCATCGTAAAATCATCTTCTCAGATGAGGCCCATTTCTGGCTCAATGGATTTGTTAATAAACAAAATTGTCGCTATTGGAGTGAGTCAAATCCACGTGTGGTTCATGAATCACCATTGCATCCGCAAAAAATAACAGTTACATGCGGTTTATGGTACGGTGAAATCATTGGTCCGTACTTCTTTGAAAGTGACGAACACTGTTACTGTGAATGGCGAGCGCTGTAACTCGATGTTAACCGAATATTTCTTGCCGGAATTTGATGATATTGATGCAGACAACCTTTATTTTCAACAAGGCGGTGCACCACCTCACATTACTCGAGTGAACATGGAATTATTGCGTGGAAAGTTTGGTGAGTCGCTAATTTCGAGAAATGGACCGATCAGTTGGCCACCAAGATCGTGTGATTTACCTTTAGACTATTTTCTTTGGGGTTACGTTAAATCTAAAGTGTACAGTAATAATCCAGCTACAATTCGTGACCCAAAAATCAACATTCGACGAGCCATAGCCGACATACCGGACGAAATGGTGCACCGCGTCTTCGAAAATTGGCGTGAGCGGGTGACCGTCTGCAAAAAGAGCCGC